GTCAGCTTCAGTCTCCCATGCAGAGCTCTGAGCGCATGTGTGGCTCTGCACCCTTAGCAGCGTTGCTAACTCCTCAGTATGGAAAGCCTGCTTCATGTCAGAGTCTCTAAACTCCAGAAGAAGTCGATAAAAGTCCCTTTCTTTCTAAAAAAAAGTCGTTAGGGGGTCTGAAAAGTCATTGAATCTAACAACAAAGTCGCTAGGTTTGCAACTACGTGTCCCAGACTGCATCCCTGCTGAGAGTCCCTCCCTCCCTTCTCATGTTGCAGGAAGAACGTAAGCGCCCCCCCCTTGTCAATCAGTCACCATATAATTTTGGATTGGTTGTTGTGGTGAAGTTTTCCACCAATAGGAGAGATGTTGTGGTGTGTTTTTTTTTTCTTTTGGCAAGCCTTTTCCGCCTGTAAGAACTGTCGCTAATGTCTGCATGCTATGTTTTCCTGTCTCATACAGCGCGATCGAGCGCCGAACGTGATCAAAATAAGCAGAAAAAAAATATCGCGGACATAATTTATCATAACTCTGGTTTTATTTGGCCTATCAACACAATTTAACAACTGGTATATAGGTTGAGGTCCTCACTTTTGAGATAAGTTGAAACGGAGAGTCAACGAGGCTCCGTCTTGCAGCTACATCCGGTTAAATATGTCATGTGACTTGAACGCACACACAGACACACACACACACACACACACACACACACACACACACACACACACACTCAGAGTCTGGTTTTTAGCACCTGCAAAAACATGCTATTTACATATTTGACAAGAATGCAGAGGCTCCTTTTGCCCCTGAAAAAAATCAAATTTCAAACACAACTTGACTGGTCATTTCTCCAAAAGACAACCATGAAGCTCCATCCAAACCTGAAGCAGGCAGTTGGTGCATGTGTACAGTAACCTGAGGGGAGTGAGGTGAGTGCTTCTGAGGAGAACATGAGCAGTGAAGATTCACCTTGGAGCTAGAACAGAGACATGCACATGATTATACAGGGGCAGGGGCTCAAGTTTTTTCCAGTCGTTTATACAATATGGAAATTAATGTGAAATTAAAACACAAAGTATTAATAGAAAGGTAATGACTGTCCTGTGTAGGTGACAGTGATATCCAATAGGCTAGGCACTCACGAGGCTGGCTGTGGCAAGTGTAAGTGAAAGCAACACGCACTGGCAGGAAGAACAGCAAACGCCGATGAAGGAAAAGGGTCTTTGCAGTGATGGGCGTTACCAGAGAGGGCGATGGCCAGAGGACACAAATGGGACGGGGAGGCAGCACGTTGGGGGGGGGGGGGGGGGGCGACACGGCTCGGGCCCGCCAGTGCCCCAACGGGGTCCTAGTTATTATTATTTTTCCTCCCCTTTGAACTGGAAAATGGCCCACTTCCCACTGGCGAAAACTCATGAAATTTGGCAGGACGACCAGGCCTGGTGAAAAATTTGATATTCCGAAGTCGCCCAAACAAGAAAATGCAAAATGGCTCCATAGCGCCCCCTAAGGTGAAAATTCACACTATTGACTGTCACGCCTGTACGCTTTGTCAAAATGACACAAAAATTGACACACAGATGTATCTCAATAAGATCTACAAAAAAGTCAGTGCGGGCGTATCTGTCAAATGTACGGTTAAAGGGTTATTTCGCATTTTTTGCCGATCCGCACACATTGGAATTTCGCTAACTCCTCCGAAGGCTTTCGTTCCACCGGCACCACATTTGCTCAACACAAAGTATTAATAGAAAGGTAATGACTGTCCTGTGTAGGTGACAGTGATATCCAATAGGCTAGGCACTCACGAGGCTGGCTGTGGCAAGTGTAAGTGAAAGCAACACGCACTGGCAGGAAGAACAGCAAACGCCGATGAAGGAAAAGGGTCTTTGCAGTGATGGGCGTTACCAGAGAGGGCGATGGCCAGAGGACACAAATGGGACGGGGAGGCAGCACGTTGGGGGGGGGGGGGGGACGCGACACGGCTCGGGCCCGCCAGTGCCCCAACGGGGTCCTAGTTATTATTAGGGCCCGAGCGTAGCTGCTAAGCAGCTGCGAGAGCCCTATTATTCCCCAAGTGGTTTTTCTTTGTTTCTTTTTAGGGCCCGAGCGTAGCTGCTAAGCAGCTGCGAGAGCCCTATTATTCCCCAAGTGGTTTTTCTTTGTTTCTTTTTAGGGCCCGAGCGTAGCTGCTAAGCAGCTGCGAGAGCCCTATTATTCCCCAAGTGGTTTTTCTTTGTTTCTTTCTTTCTTCTTTTTCCTCCCCTTTGAACTGGAAAATGGCCCACTTCCCACTGGCGAAAACTCATGAAATTTGGCAGGATGACCGGGCCTGGTGAAAAATTTGATATTCCGAAGTCGCCCAAACAATAAAATGCAAAATGGCTCCATAGCGCCCCCTAAGGTGAAAATTCACACTATTGACTGTCACGCCTTTACGCTTTGTCATATTGACACAAAAATTGACACACACATGTATCTCAATAAGATCTACAAAAAGTCAGTGCGGGCGTATCTGTCAAATGTACGGTTAAAGGGTTATTCCGCATTTTTTGCCGATCCGCACACATTGGAATTTCGCTAACTCCTCCGAAGGCTTTCGTTCCACCGGCACCACATTTGCTCAGGCCAATCTACACCCCATGGCCATTAAAAGTTATTCAAATCATGACGCTGCACCCCACGGTTTAGGTTCTAGGGGGCGCCAAAGATAACCCTAAAATCCACATATTTAAAAGTCTTATAACTTTTTATTTTTGCCCTCACTGGCCTCCAAGTTTTCTAGGATGATGCAATGTCCAGCCATCAACACATTTGTGAAGGAATTTTTAATCCCCAAAAGAGCGCCCCCCCATGGCAGGAGAAAAAAGTCCATTTTTTCTTGTCCCCTAAGGTGAAAATACACATTGTTGAGTGTCACGCCTGTACGCTTTGTCATATTGACACAAAATTTGACACACACATGTATCTCAATTAGATCTACGAAAAAGTCAATGCGCGCGTATCTGTAAAATGTACGGTTAAAGGGTTATTCCGCATTTTTTGCTGATCCGCACACATTGGAATTTCGCTAACTCCTCCTAAGGCTGGCGTTCCACCGGCACCACATTTGCTCAGGCCAATCTACACCCCATGGCCATTAAAAGTTATTCAAATCATGACGCTGCACCCCACGGTTTAGGTTCTAGGGGGCGCCAAAGATAACCCTAAAATCCACATATTTCAAAGTCTTATAACTTTTTATTTTTGTCCTCACTGGCCTCCAAGTTTTCTAGGATGATGCAATGTCCAGCCATCAACACATTTGTGAAGGAATTTTTACTCCCCAAAAGAGCGCCCCCCCATGGCAGGAGAAAAAAGTCCATTTTTTCTTGTCCCATAAGGTGAAAAAACACATTGTTGACTGTCATACCTGTACGCTTTGTCATATTGACACAAAATTTGACAATCACATGTATCTCAATAAGATCTACGAAAAAGTCAATGCGCGCGTATCTGTCAAATGTACGGTTAAAGGGCTATTTTGCATTTTTTGCCGATTCGCACACATTGGAATTTCGCTAACTCCTCCGAAGGCTTTCGTTCCACCGGCACCACATTTGCTCAGGCCAATCTACACCCCGTGGCCATTAAAAGTTATCAAAATCATGACGCTGCACCCCACGGTTTACGTTCTAGGGGGCGCCAAAGATAACACTAAAATCCACTTATTTAAAAGTCTTATAACTTTTTATTTTTCTCCTCACTGGCCTCCAAGTTTTCTAGGATGATGCAATGTCCAGCCATCAACACATTTGTGAAGGAATTTTTACTCCCCAAAAGAGCGCCCCCCAATGGCAGGAGAAAAAAGTCCATTTTTTCTTGTCCCCTAAGGTGAAAATACATATTGTAGAGTGCCACGCCTGTACGCTTTGTCAAAATGACACAAAATTTGACATACACGTGTATTTCAATAAGATCTTCGAAAAAGTCAATGGCCACGTATCTGTAAAATGTACGGTTAAAGGGTTATTCCGCATTTTTTTCCGATCCGCACACATTGGAATTTCGCTAACTCCTCCGAAGGCTTTCGTTCCACCGGCACCACATTTGCTCAGGCCAATCTACACCCCATGGCCATTAAAAGTTATTCAAATCATGACGCTGCACCCCACGGTTTAGGTTCTAGGGGGCGCCAAAGATAACCCTAAAATCCACTTATTTAAAAGTCTTATAACTTTTTATTTTTCTCCTCACTGGCCTCCAAGTTTTCTAGGATGATGCAATGTCCAGCCATCAACACATTTGTGAAGGAATTTTTACTCCCCAAAAGAGCGCCCCCCCATGGCAGGAGAAAAAAGTCCATTTTTTCTTGTCCCATAAGGTGAAAATACACATTGTTGACTGTCATACCTGTACGCTTTGTCATATTGACACAAAATTTGACAATCACATGTATCTCAATAAGATCTACGAAAAAGTCAATGCGCGCGTATCTGTCAAATGTACGGTTAAAGGGCTATTTTGCATTTTTTGCCGATTCGCACACATTGGAATGTGGCTAACTCCTCCTAAGGCTTTCGTCCCACTGACACCAAATTTGCTCAGGCCAATCTACACCCCATGGCCATTCAAAGTTGTAAAAATCATGACGCTGCACCCCACGGTTTACGTTCTAGGGGGCGCCAAAGATGACCCAAATATCCACATTCTTAAAAGAATATCCCCCCCCCCCCCATCCCCCATCCCCCATGGCAGGAGAAACAGTCAAGTTTTTCCTGCCCATCCCTCAATGGCTCAATCGCATCGCTCTCCCGGCAACACCGTAACGAGGAGCAACTTGCCGTTTGGATATATCCTAGCTGTGTTTGTGGACCCACTCATGGTCCAGACTTTCTTCAAATAGGACATGTAGTTTGTCTGCAGCGAGTGTTTGGTAGAAACTGCGCCTCCCATTCATTATAATGGGAAATGACCACAGACAAGTGAGCACACCATCTTTGGACCTTGAGTGTGACGTGATCGGGAGGGGGAGGCGGTCGCGCCGGGGGCGGCGCAACGCGGCTCGGGCCCGACAGTGCCCCACCGGGGCCCTAGTTTCTTTTTCCTCCCCTTTGAACTGGAAAATGGCCCACTTCCCACTGGCGAAAACTCATGAAATTTGGCAGGACGACCGGGCCTGGTGAAAAATTTGATATTCTGAAGTCGCCCAAACAATACAATGCAAAATGGCTCCATAGCGCCCCCTAAGGTGAAAAATTCACCTGACGCCTGTACGCTTTGTCAAAATGACACAAAAATTGACACACACATGTATCTCAATAAGATCTACAAAAAAGTCAGTGCGGGCGTATCTGTCAAATGTACGGTTAAAGGGTTATTGCGCATTTTTTGCCGATCCGCACACATTGGAATTTCGCTAACTCCTCCAAAGGCTTTCGTTCCACCGGCACCACATTTGCTCAGGCCAATCTACACCCCATGGCCATTAAAAGTTATTCAAATCATGACGCTGCACCCCACGGTTTAGGTTCTAGGGGGCGCCAAAGATAACCCTAAAATCCACATATTTCAAAGTCTTATAACTTTTTATTTTTGCCCTCACTGGCCTCCAAGTTTTCTAGGATGATGCAATGTCCAGCCATCAACACATTTGTGAAGGAATTTTTACTCCCCAAAAGAGCGCCCCCCATGGCAGGAGAAAAAAGTCCATTTTTTCTTGTCCCATAAGGTGAAAATTCACACTATTGACTGTCACGCCTGTACGCATTGTCAAAATTACACAAAAATTGACACACACATGTATCTCAATAAGATCTACAAAAAAGTAATTGCTGGCGTATCTGTCAAATGTACGGTTAAAGGGTTATTGCGCATTTTTTGCCGATCCGCACACATTGGAATTTCGCTAACTCCTCCGAAGGCTTTCGTTCCACTGGCACCACATTTGCTCAGGCCAATCTACACCCCATGGCCATTAAAAGTTATTCAAATCATGACGCTGCACCCCACGGTTTAGGTTCTAGGGGGCGCCAAAGATAACCCTAAAATCCACATATTTAAAAGTCTTATAACTTTTTATTTTTGCACTCACTGGCCTCCAAGTTTTCTAGGATGATGCAATGTCCAGCCATCAACACATTTGTGAAGGAATTTTTACTCCCCAAAAGAGCGCCCCCCCATGGCAGGAGAAAAAAGTCCATTTTTTCTTGTCCCCTAAGGTGAAAATACACATTGTTGAGTGTCACGCCTGTACGCTTTGTCATATTGACACAAAATTTGACACACACATGTATCTCAATAAGATCTACGAAAAAGTCAATGCGCGCGTATCTGTAAAATGTACGGTTAAAGGGTTATTCGGCATTTTTTGCTGATCCGCACACATTGGAATTTCGCTAACTCCTCCGAAGGCTTTCGTTCCACCGGCACCACATTTGCTCAGGCCAATCTACACCCCATGGCCATTAAAAGTTATTCAAATCATGACGCTGCACCCCACGGTTTAGGTTCTAGGGGGCGCCAAAGATAACCCTAAAATCCACATATTTAAAAGTCTTATAACTTTTTATTTTTGTCCTCACTGGCCTCCAAGTTTTCTAGGATGATGCAATGTCCAGCCATCAACACATTTGTGAAGGAATTTTTACTCCCCAAAAGAGCGCCCCCCCATGGCAGGAGAAAAAAGTCCATTTTTTCTTGTCCCATAAGGTGAAAATACACATTGTTGACTGTCATACCTGTACGCTTTGTCATATTGACACAAAATTTGACAATCACATGTATCTCAATAAGATCTACGAAAAAGTCAATGCGCGCGTATCTGTCAAATGTACGGTTAAAGGGCTATTTTGCATTTTTTGCCGATTCGCACACATTGGAATTTCGCTAACTCCTCCGAAGGCTTTCGTTCCACCGGCACCACATTTGCTCAGGCCAATCTACACCCCGTGGCCATTAAAAGTTATCAAAATCATGACGCTGCACCCCACGGTTTACGTTCTAGGGGGCGCCAAAGATAACACTAAAATCCACTTATTTAAAAGTCTTATAACTTTTTATTTTTCTCCTCACTGGCCTCCAAGTTTTCTAGGATGATGCAATGTCCAGCCATCAACACATTTGTGAAGGAATTTTTACTCCCCAAAAGAGCGCCCCCCAATGGCAGGAGAAAAAAGTCCATTTTTTCTTGTCCCCTAAGGTGAAAATACATATTGTAGAGTGCCACGCCTGTACGCTTTGTCAAAATGACACAAAATTTGACATACACGTGTATTTCAATAAGATCTTCGAAAAAGTCAATGGCCACGTATCTGTAAAATGTACGGTTAAAGGGTTATTCCGCATTTTTTTCCGATCCGCACACATTGGAATTTCGCTAACTCCTCCGAAGGCTTTCGTTCCACCGGCACCACATTTGCTCAGGCCAATCTACACCCCATGGCCATTAAAAGTTATTCAAATCATGACGCTGCACCCCACGGTTTAGGTTCTAGGGGGCGCCAAAGATAACCCTAAAATCCACTTATTTAAAAGTCTTATAACTTTTTATTTTTCTCCTCACTGGCCTCCAAGTTTTCTAGGATGATGCAATGTCCAGCCATCAACACATTTGTGAAGGAATTTTTACTCCCCAAAAGAGCGCCCCCCCCATGGCAGGAGAAAAAAGTCCATTTTTTCTTGTCCCATAAGGTGAAAATACACATTGTTGACTGTCATACCTGTACGCTTTGTCATATTGACACAAAATTTGACAATCACATGTATCTCAATAAGATCTACAAAAAAGTCAATGCGCGCGTATCTGTCAAATGTACGGTTAAAGGGCTATTTTGCATTTTTTTGCTGATTCGCACACATTGGAATGTGGCTAACTCCTCCAAAGGCTTTCGTCCCACTGACACCAAATTTGCTCAGGCCAATCTACACCCCATGGCCATTCAAAGTTGTAAAAATCATGACGCTGCACCCAACGGTTTACGTTCTAGGGGGCGCCAAAGATGACCCAAATATCCACATTCTTCAAAGAATAACTTTTTATTTTTGCCCTCATCCCCCATCCCCTAGGATGATGCAATGTCCAGCCATCAACACATTTGTGAAGGAATTTTTACTCCCCAAAAGAGCGCCCCCCATGGCAGGAGAAAAAAGTCCATTTTTTCTTGTCCCATAAGGTGAAAATTCACACTATTGACTGTCACGCCTGTACGCATTGTCAAAATTACACAAAAATTGACACACACATGTATCTCAATAAGATCTACAAAAAAGTAATTGCTGGCGTATCTGTCAAATGTACGGTTAAAGGGTTATTGCGCATTTTTTGCCGATCCGCACACATTGGAATTTCGCTAACTCCTCCGAAGGCTTTCGTTCCACTGGCACCACATTTGCTCAGGCCAATCTACACCCCATGGCCATTAAAAGTTATTCAAATCATGACGCTGCACCCCACGGTTTAGGTTCTAGGGGGCGCCAAAGATAACCCTAAAATCCACATATTTAAAAGTCTTATAACTTTTTATTTTTGCACTCACTGGCCTCCAAGTTTTCTAGGATGATGCAATGTCCAGCCATCAACACATTTGTGAAGGAATTTTTAATCCCCAAAAGAGCGCCCCCCCATGGCAGGAGAAAAAGGCTCCATTTTTTCTTGTCCCCCTAAGGTGAAAATACACATTGTTGAGTGTCACGCCTGTACGCTTTGTCAAAATTGACACAAAAATTGACACACACATGTATCTCAATAAGATCTACAAAAAAGTCAATGCGGGCGTATCTGTAAAATGTACGGTTAAAGGGTTATTCGGCATTTTTTGCTGATCCGCACACATTGGAATTTCGCTAACTCCTCCGAAGGCTTTCGTTCCACCGGCACCACATTTGCTCAGGCCAATCTACACCCCATGGCCATTAAAAGTTATTCAAATCATGACGCTGCACCCCACGGTTTAGGTTCTAGGGGGCGCCAAAGATAACCCTAAAATCCACATATTTCAAAGTCTTATAACTTTTTATTTTTGCCCTCACTGGCCTCCAAGTTTTCTAGGATGATGCAATGTCCAGCCATCAACACATTTGTGAAGGAATTTTTACTCCCCAAAAGAGCGCCCCCCATGGCAGGAGAAAAAAGTCCATTTTTTCTTGTCCCATAAGGTGAAAATTCACACTATTGACTGTCACGCCTGTACGCATTTGTCATATTGACACAAAATTTGACAATCACATGTATCTCAATAAGATCTACAAAAAAGTCAATGCTGCGCGTATCTGTCAAATGTACGGTTAAAGGGCTATTTTGCATTTTTTGCCGATTCGCACACATTGGAATTTCGCTAACTCCTCCGAAGGCTTTCGTTCCACCGGCACCACATTTGCTCAGGCCAATCTACACCCCGTGGCCATTAAAAGTTATCAAAATCATGACGCTGCACCCCACGGTTTACGTTCTAGGGGGCGCCAAAGATAACACTAAAATCCACTTATTTAAAAGTCTTATAACTTTTTATTTTTCTCCTCACTGGCCTCCAAGTTTTCTAGGATGATGCAATGTCCAGCCATCAACACATTTGTGAAGGAATTTTTACTCCCCAAAAGAGCGCCCCCCAATGGCAGGAGAAAAAAGTCCATTTTTTCTTGTCCCCTAAGGTGAAAATACATATTGTAGAGTGCCACGCCTGTACGCTTTGTCAAAATGACACAAAATTTGACATACACGTGTATTTCAATAAGATCTTCGAAAAAGTCAATGGCCACGTATCTGTAAAATGTACGGTTAAAGGGTTATTCCGCATTTTTTTCCGATCCGCACACATTGGAATTTCGCTAACTCCTCCGAAGGCTTTCGTTCCACCGGCACCACATTTGCTCAGGCCAATCTACACCCCATGGCCATTAAAAGTTATTCAAATCATGACGCTGCACCCCACGGTTTAGGTTCTAGGGGGCGCCAAAGATAACCCTAAAATCCACTTATTTAAAAGTCTTATAACTTTTTATTTTTCTCCTCACTGGCCTCCAAGTTTTCTAGGATGATGCAATGTCCAGCCATCAACACATTTGTGAAGGAATTTTTACTCCCCAAAAGAGCGCCCCCCCATGGCAGGAGAAAAAAGTCCATTTTTTCTTGTCCCATAAGGTGAAAATACACATTGTTGACTGTCATACCTGTACGCTTTGTCATATTGACACAAAATTTGACAATCACATGTATCTCAATAAGATCTACGAAAAAGTCAATGCGCGCGTATCTGTCAAATGTACGGTTAAAGGGCTATTTTGCATTTTTTGCTGATTCGCACACATTGGAATGTGGCTAACTCCTCCTAAGGCTTTCGTCCCACTGACACCAAATTTGCTCAGGCCAATCTACACCCCATGGCCATTCAAAGTTGTAAAAATCATGACGCTGCACCCAACGGTTTACGTTCTAGGGGGCGCCAAAGATGACCCAAATATCCACATTCTTAAAAGAATATCCCCCCCCCCCCCATCCCCCATCCCCCATGGCAGGAGAAACAGTCAAGTTTTTCCTGCCCATCCCTCAATGGCTCAATCACATCGCTCTCCCGGCAACACCGTAACGAGGAGCAACTTGCCGTTTGGATATATCCTAGCTGTGTTTGTGGACCCACTCATGGTCCAGACTTTCTTCAAATAGGACATGTAGTTTGTCTGCAGCGAGTGTTTGGTAGAAACTGCGCCTCCCATTCATTATAATGGGAAATGACCACAGACAAGTGAGCACACCATCTTTGGACCTTGAGTGTGACGTGATCGGGAGGGGGAGGCGGTCGCGCCGGGGGCGGCGCAACGCGGCTCGGGCCCGACAGTGCCCCACCGGGGCCCTAGTTTCTTTTTCCTCCCCTTTGAACTGGAAAATGGCCCACTTCCCACTGGCGAAAACTCATGAAATTTGGCAGGACGACCGGGCCTGGTGAAAAATTTGATATTCTGAAGTCGCCCAAACAATACAATGCAAAATGGCTCCATAGCGCCCCCTAAGGTGAAAAATTCACCTGACGCCTGTACGCTTTGTCAAAATGACACAAAAATTGACACACACATGTATCTCAATAAGATCTACAAAAAAGTCAGTGCGGGCGTATCTGTCAAATGTACGGTTAAAGGGTTATTGCGCATTTTTTGCCGATCCGCACACATTGGAATTTCGCTAACTCCTCCGAAGGCTTTCGTTCCACCGGCACCACATTTGCTCAGGCCAATCTACACCCCATGGCCATTAAAAGTTATTCAAATCATGACGCTGCACCCCACGGTTTAGGTTCTAGGGGGCGCCAAAGATAACCCTAAAATCCACATATTTCAAAGTCTTATAACTTTTTATTTTTGCCCTCACTGGCCTCCAAGTTTTCTAGGATGATGCAATGTCCAGCCATCAACACATTTGTGAAGGAATTTTTACTCCCCAAAAGAGCGCCCCCCATGGCAGGAGAAAAAAGTCCATTTTTTCTTGTCCCATAAGGTGAAAATTCACACTATTGACTGTCACGCCTGTACGCATTGTCAAAATTACACAAAAATTGACACACACATGTATCTCAATAAGATCTACAAAAAAGTAATTGCTGGCGTATCTGTCAAATGTACAGTTAAAGGGCTATTTTGCATTTTTTGCCGATTCGCACACATTGGAATTTCGCTAACTCCTCCGAAGGCTTTCGTTCCACCGGCACCACATTTGCTCAGGCCAATCTACACCCCGTGGCCATTAAAAGTTATCAAAATCATGACGCTGCACCCCACGGTTTACGTTCTAGGGGGCGCCAAAGATAACACTAAAATCCACTTATTTAAAAGTCTTATAACTTTTTATTTTTCTCCTCACTGGCCTCCAAGTTTTCTAGGATGATGCAATGTCCAGCCATCAACACATTTGTGAAGGAATTTTTACTCCCCAAAAGAGCGCCCCCCAATGGCAGGAGAAAAAAGTCCATTTTTTCTTGTCCCCTAAGGTGAAAATACATATTGTAGAGTGCCACGCCTGTACGCTTTGTCAAAATGACACAAAATTTGACATACACGTGTATTTCAATAAGATCTTCGAAAAAGTCAATGGCCACGTATCTGTAAAATGTACGGTTAAAGGGTTATTCCGCATTTTTTTCCGATCCGCACACATTGGAATTTCGCTAACTCCTCCGAAGGCTTTCGTTCCACCGGCACCACATTTGCTCAGGCCAATCTACACCCCATGGCCATTAAAAGTTATTCAAATCATGACGCTGCACCCCACGGTTTAGGTTCTAGGGGGCGCCAAAGATAACCCTAAAATCCACTTATTTAAAAGTCTTATAACTTTTTATTTTTCTCCTCACTGGCCTCCAAGTTTTCTAGGATGATGCAATGTCCAGCCATCAACACATTTGTGAAGGAATTTTTACTCCCCAAAAGAGCGCCCCCCCCATGGCAGGAGAAAAAAGTCCATTTTTTCTTGTCCCATAAGGTGAAAATACACATTGTTGACTGTCATACCTGTACGCTTTGTCATATTGACACAAAATTTGACAATCACATGTATCTCAATAAGATCTACGAAAAAGTCAATGCGCGCGTATCTGTCAAATGTACGGTTAAAGGGCTATTTTGCATTTTTTTGCTGATTCGCACACATTGGAATGTGGCTAACTCCTCCTAAGGCTTTCGTCCCACTGACACCAAATTTGCTCAGGCCAATCTACACCCCATGGCCATTCAAAGTTGTAAAAATCATGACGCTGCACCCAACGGTTTACGTTCTAGGGGGCGCCAAAGATGACCCAAATATCCACATTCTTAAAAGAATATCCCCCCCCCCCCCCATCCCCCATCCCCCATGGCAGGAGAAACAGTCAAGTTTTTCCTGCCCATCCCTCAATGGCTCAATCGCATCGCTCTCCCGGCAACACCGTAACGAGGAGCAACTTGCCGTTTGGATATATCCTAGCTGTGTTTGTGGACCCACTCATGGTCCAGACTTTCTTCAAATAGGACATGTAGTTTGTCTGCAGCGAGTGTTTGGTAGAAACTGCGCCTCCCATTCATTATAATGGGAAATGACCACAGACAAGTGAGCACACCATCTTTGGACCTTGAGTGTGACGTGATCGGGAGGGGGAGGCGGTCGCGCCGGGGGCGGCGCAACGCGGCTCGGGCCCGACAGTGCCCCACCGGGGCCCTAGTTTCTTTTTCCTCCCCTTTGAACTGGAAAATGGCCCACTTCCCACTGGCGAAAACTCATGAAATTTGGCAGGACGACCGGGCCTGGTGAAAAATTTGATATTCTGAAGTCGCCCAAACAATACAATGCAAAATGGCTCCATAGCGCCCCCTAAGGTGAAAAATTCACCTGACGCCTGTACGCTTTGTCAAAATGACACAAAAATTGACACACACATGTATCTCAATAAGATCTACAAAAAAGTCAGTGCGGGCGTATCTGTCAAATGTACGGTTAAAGGGTTATTGCGCATTTTTTGCCGATCCGCACACATTGGAATTTCGCTAACTCCTCCGAAGGCTTTCGTTCCACCGGCACCACATTTGCTCAGGCCAATCTACACCCCATGGCCATTAAAAGTTATTCAAATCATGACGCTGCACCCCACGGTTTAGGTTCTAGGGGGCGCCAAAGATAACCCTAAAATCCACATATTTCAAAGTCTTATAACTTTTTATTTTTGCCCTCACTGGCCTCCAAGTTTTCTAGGATGATGCAATGTCCAGCCATCAACACATTTGTGAAGGAATTTTTACTCCCCAAAAGAGCGCCCCCCATGGCAGGAGAAAAAAGTCCATTTTTTCTTGTCCCCTAAGGTGAAAATACACATTGTTGAGTGTAACACCTGTACGCTTTGGCAAAATGACACCAAAATTGAGACACACATGTATCTCAATAAGATCTACAAAAAAGTCAATGCGGGCGTATCTGTCAAATGTACGGTTAAAGGGTTATTTCGCATTTTTTGCCGATCCGCACACATTGGAATTTCGCTAACTCCTCCGAAGGCTTTCGTTCCACCGGCACCACATTTGCTCAGGCCAATCTACACCCCATGGCCATTAAAAGTTATTCAAATCATGACGCTGCACCCCACGGTTTAGGTTCTAGGGGGCGCCAAAGATAACCCTAAGATCCACATATTTAAAAGTCTTATAACTTTTTATTTTTGTCCTCACTGGCCTCCATGTTTTCTAGGATGATGCAATGTCCAGCCATCAACACATTTGTGAAGGAGTTTTTTCTCGTTAAAAGAGCGCCCCCCCATGGCAGGAGAATAAAGTCAAGTTTTTCCTGTTCATCATTCAATGGCTCAAACGCACTGCTCTCTCGGCAAAAGCGAAAGGAGGAGCAACTTGCCATTTGGATATATCTTAGCTGTGTTTGTGCCCTCACTCATGGTCCAGACTTTTTTCAAATAGGACATGGAGTTTTTCTGCAGCGAGCGTTTTGGTAGAAACTGCGCCTCCCGTTCATTATAATGGTAAATGACCACAAACAAGTGCGCACACCATCTTTGGACCTTGAGTGTGACGCGATCGGGTGGGGGAGGCGGTCGTGCTGGGGGCGGCGTGACACGGCTCGGGCCCGCCAGTGCCCCAACGGGGCCCTAGTTTGTGATTGATGTGCACATTTTGTTTAATTGTTTACTCGAGCACAATTTTGTGGATTTTGTTTTACAAAGGTAACCATCACATTGTTCAATTCTGTCACAGCTCTTCCTCCTTCTCTCTCTCTCTCTGTCCTACAAACTTTCTGCCGTACCCCAGCCATTCCACCCGATGGTCTTCCTCAAGGCGTTTTCCCCACGACGAATGTAGCTGGGGATGTTTTTTATTGTTAGAAAAATTAAATTAATGTTGAAACTTCACATGCTTTTCTGTGATTTGTTGTACCATGATAAAGTTTTCTGATTTACAGCACAGATGAAAAAACACAGTATATGCTTTATTATTCCAGAGAATTTGTCTCAAATTTTTATTTTTCATGTAAAGCTATCAAAAGAAAAAAACATACCATAACAAAGTCAATGCATTTCTTATGTACTCATCATCAAGTGATTAACAAGAAAAGAGCTTAACATCAGTCCTAGTATTCTTGCTTCTGGTGCAATGGTCAGATAAGACTATTCAAAAAGGCTGTAAAGGACGAACACACAGAAAGATGGAAAAGACAAATGTCTCAAAAAAAGTTGGATCCATTTTATTCCTAGCAATAAAATGGATCCAACTTTTCAAGACATTTGTCTTTTCCATTTTTCTGTGTGCGAGTCCTCACCATGAAGTGGACAAAGTGTGGTAAAACTGAAAAAACAAACTGACAATATGTGTAGTGAACAGCATGTAAATCAGATAGCATGACATGGACACTTGTGAGAGGACACTAGCATTTTAGTATTTATTTGTGATTTATAAATACTTAACTCCTTTGCAGAAAACCTGTATGTTTGTTATTTTACCAGGAACTTAAAAAGATGTAATCTAGTACTTTGGGAGTTGCATTGGGTGGAAAGGAAACAGGCTGCAGCAGATGAATCCACCATATCATCAGTGGTTGGTGATGAAGTCTGAAAAACACAAAGAAATTCATCAATTAAATTGTGAATACCAGTACTTAAATTCATTAAGACACTTATGTCTCAAACCAGGTGGTAGCTCAGCATGAAAACTTTAGAGGTTTTGATATACTAGTCCAATTATTTAAAAGGTTTCATTTAGTTAGCATTCTTAGAGACTACTACTTGGCTAGTGCTGTTACCTTTATCTAACAGGGCACATTTGGTCTAAGCAAAAGAAGTTGTTCATGTGGTATCACTCAAATTTTTTTTGCAACATGATTCCTGTTTTTTTTTACTCCAGGCTGCGCCAACTTAAACTGAAAATGACTGATGACACTAACTAATAATGACACTACAACTACATGCAAATACCTAATTTTAGAAAACATAAAAACAGCAGTAATTTAAAATGGAACCACGATAGTTGTAGTGTTCAGCTCTTGGGAATGTTTAAATAACCGCCATTTTATGATTCAAAGTGTTAGTCAATTTGACAATAAATTGTTGCAAATGTGAACTTCATAAAAATTGCTGTCCAGTAAAAAGGAAATAATTTAACCTTTGAGTCCACAGTAAAGGCATGCTCTTCAAAATGAGCACTGCAAAGACGTGATGATCCTGTTGGTTTCCAGTCCTGCCGTCTTGTGTTCACCAGCCACTGCTTCAGCCTCGCTTTGTCACCTAAAGGAAAACTTTACAAAAATACAATAACATTGCTTACTGCCATTTGTCAAGTTTGTAAACAACACAAAGTTAATGTTTTGCGTTCAGTTTAATTCTTGCTTTGTTGCATAACAGGCTGAAGCCAAAACTCAATTCAAAGACAATCACAAAAAATACCTCAAGTGAATGAATATACAAACTGTATAAATAATCTAAATCATTTCATCTTGTGAGTGATATGTCTTATGAACATCCTATCAAAATTGAGGGATTTCTTTGCATGTAACAAAAATTTTAATGTCATTGTGATTGATTAAGTGTGTCATATGCAGCTGTCTTTCCATAACTAATTACATTAAACATAGTTTTATCTCAATCTCATAAGTAACAGGGCTATCTATCTATCTATCTATCTATCTATCTTGAAAACTTAAGTAAGACATGATCTACCATGCTGCTGTAAATGATAATTGTCATTCCACATAAGTATACTTATGACTTATGTATGTTATTTGATAGCATAAAATAAATAACAGTTATGCAACTTGTATAAGTAATCTTTTGAGCATGTCCTTCTATACACTTATAGGGTCTCGTTTTCTCGACGTTTTGTCCCATTAAAGACAGTTTCAGAGCTTTATCTTAGACAAATATCGTATGTCACCAGAAGCTGTAATACTACTGCCGCTGTACGGAGGAGACTGAACCGGCGGTCAATCCTCTGCCAGAAAGCTAGGACGGTGCATCCGAAAGATGCCTTTTAATTAAACCATACCTGATTTTAGCGCAGGCTGCTCTCGTTGTAACATACCCGAGTAAAACTGGTTGATCCATTACCAAAACTTCGACTCATAACATCATGACTCTCATTATATTCATTTACATGGCCTTGTTCTCATAAAGTGATGCAATATTAGGGGAATGACTTAAATGCGAATTAATTCCTTTAACATTATGACTTCATGCCTCGAGTTTTCATTTCATGCCCTGATACTCTGTGGTAGTATTTGGTTGCTAGTATGAATCTGTGTGATCGGTACGGTTTTTAATTCAAATTCAAAGTCACGTAGTCATAATATTGTTATAAAAAGAAGGCGGATTTTAAGGGGTTTCCTCATTGTTTAACTTCTAATAAAAACGCTTATTAGCTGCACAGAACTTACCGCTTGGTATCTGTAAGTAAACCCCATTAGCTAAATTAAACCAGACCGTTTAATGTTATGTAGCTAGCAAGCTGATGACTTCATAAAAAAAACACAACTTACCGAAACAACTGCAAAGTTCCCGATTTCACATGTCGGTTAACACAGTTTACTGCAGAACAACTCATTTTCCCAATGCAATAAAAGAGAAAAACGATGGAAAAATGTAATCCTCTTCTCCGCTGGCAAACCCGATCGGTCTTGACGATGGACAAAAAAGAGCGATGCACAAGCAGCAAGTGCAAAGTGTAGAGAATGACGCAATTTCCTGTTTTTATAACTCCTTATAACTTTTTAAAATGGAGCTGCAGAGAGAAAAAAAGACCTGAACACAAACCAGTCTAATAATAACTACATGTCAACATCGCAGTCGGGGGTGAGAAAAGTGTATTTTCTGTGAAATTAATTTCTAAAGGCCGTCCGCCGCTCCATTCACTTTGCTGGCAGAAGTGGGGTTTATGACTTGTACTGCAGCCAGGCTCTAGGGGGTGCTGTTCTCGGAGTGGCTTCACCCGGCGAGGAGACAGACGGCGTCCATCTTATATACAGTCTATGGATAAAACAGGTCATTATAGTGCCTTTACATTAATAGACGTGTATAAACTTTCCTGCAAGAAGGATTTAATTTCAGCCAATTTAAAGCAATATGCTATTTGATATCTTTAAATGTAGCAGAATCCCCGCTACAGCTGCGATGTTCATTTGTTTTGAGTTTTCAGGGCAGGGGAGTGACTCTTACTTCAGGACTTTGCGAATAAACCACGTGTCACCCAGTGAACGACGCTGTGACTTCAGCAGCAGGGGAAGGGAGGGGCTCGTTGAATGAACAGACTTGCGGCTGTGTCACTCACTCGTGTAATGCACCGGCAGGACGGGGCACACTGACTGAGTCAGTGAACGACTCGTTGATCGAATCGTTTTAATGAAAGGATTCTAAAGATTCAGTACAGTCAAAGGAACTGTTCTTCCCATCACTAGTCGTAGAGTTCTTATATTGCATCCTTTCTTAGACAATTCTTTGTTACAATTTTTTCTAGTTCTGTGCGACAAGGTTTAGAAAGTACATTGTTTTGGTCTGTTTTAACATGATTTCTAAGCTAAAGGTACTTAAAGAAATGTTTTCTATTGAGGTGATATTTAGCTCTTAGTTCATCAAAGGACATCATGTCTGAGTTTGTTGTGTACAGATCTTGAATCGTTTCAAGTCCCTTAGTTAACCATAATTTAAATGTTGCATCTCCCCTTCCTGGTACAAAAACTGATTACCCCAAATTGGAGTAAATTATCTCAATTTACTCCAATTTGGAGTAAGCTGGACTGGAAGTAAAATTACATTGTCTGCATTACAGGGCAATTCTGTGCTCTACTGGTCCTACTGTAAGTCTGCAAAACTGTGGATGAGAACGTACTTCTATAGCAAACGGTTCTATTGCTAATGTGAATAACAAAGGCAAAAGAGGGCAGCCCTGTCGGCATTCTTTGTTAATATCTATTGATTTTGAAATATTTTGGTTCATTAGAATTTCTGCTGTAGAGTTATTGTATATGGCCTGCACCCATTGAATAAAGATATCTCCACAACCAAATCTTTCTAAAACATTGAAAAGATAAGGCCATTTGACCCTATTAAAGGCCTTTTTGGCATCCAACGCTAATAGGGCTGTATCTGGTTGATCTTAATTACAGTGAATGATATTCAATATTCTTCTGACATTATGGAAACCTTGTCTTTCTGATATGAATCCATTTTGGTCCTTGTTTACAATTTTTGGCAGAATTCTCTGTAATCTAATTGCTAGAAGCTTACATATTATTTTAAGGTCCAAATTTAGCAGGCTTATTGGTCTCAAATTCTCGCACTTATTAAGGGTTTTGCCTGGTTTTGGCAGTAAAGTAGTTAGAGCATTATTCATTGAGGATGGAAGACTGCCAGTCTGAGATGCTTCAAGAAACATTTCTAAGAGTGGTGCTAGTAGTGTGTTTTTGAATTTTTTGTACAAGTCAAATGGGAGACCGCCTGGTCCTACTCTTTTTCCTGATTTCAAATTATCTATGGCGTTACTGATTTCTTCTTTGGTGATATCTGTATCTAAGTCTTCTTTATATTCATCTGGGGTGCAAGGAATAGGTAATTCATCCAAAAATCTATTCATATTTTGTATATTAATAGTGTTAGTTGTACCATATAATTTTTTAAATAAAAATCTCTGAAAGCATCATTTATTTTTATAGGATGTCATGGTTGTAAAAGCTGTTCTGGGGTCTCATGTATCAACGCTTGCGGCGCAAGAAAACCTTGCGTACGCCAAAATCAGCGCACACGTCCAGATTTATCATCGCGAAACGAGCGTCGGTTCCAGCGCTAATCAACGCAAAGTCAGGAGGTGGTGTAGAAATTGGCGTTGAGCCGATACTTGCGTTGACTGTGATTCGCACTTTGGCGACGCTGTGTGGCGGTGTTTGGTGACTCACTATGTGACAAGCGTGCACCACATCCCCGTGGCCGAGCAGCACGTCGCCCCACATGACGAACCAGCAGCAGACGGAGGGATGCGAGCTGATCCCTGCCGGGCCGCCGTCCTCGCGCAGGAGAATCTCATCCCCACAGTGTGAATGGGTAAGAAGTGAAATTTATTTTCGCCACCAGACGCTCGAGGACATTTACGAGCCGGTCCAGCTGCTCGTTGATCCCCGCGATCCCCCTGATGATTTCTTCCTGCGATTGCAGGACCCCCTCCGCGAGGACCCTTCCACTGCGTCCGGGTGGTCCAGCGGAAGCGCCGTGGCTGGTTGACGCTCCACCGCTTGTCGGCGCGCTGGTGCTGATGCTGGTGCTGGTGCTGGGGCCGGGGGCCGGGGTGGCCCGAATGCAGCTGGTCCTGGCCGACGACTCCGAGCCGGCGGACGGGCTGCCGCGGGCCGGGGTTCCGCAAGCCGGCGACACGCCCGACACATTGATTTCTGTGACACAATTAAAATATTTGTTCATTTCAATTCCTGCTTCTGTGTATCTGTTGTGTTTACATCTCTCTCCACGGTATCATAGGTAATGTAATTCAGTATTTAGAGGTCAGTTATGCACATTATAGTTGTTTATTGCATAAAAAGTTATCGAAAAATGAAGTTAAGGGCGAAGTATAAATCACGTCTAAAAATAGACTGAATCCCGACGTTGAAATGAAGTATAAACTTAGACTAGACGTCTAATATACGTCTTTTGCTCAGTGGGATGACAAAGCATGTGGACATTTGTGTGACACGCCACTTACCCTATAATAATAATCGCCACCACCTGCTGCTCAAACGGTGTGAGGGTCTCCTCCCCCGGACCCCCACCTGTCTGGCCAGTACTCCTCCGGAGGGCAGCTGTACGCCGCTTGACCTCCACCTTGAGGTCCGACCACTTTTTTTTAATCTTCGCGGGGGTGCGTGTCTCGGAACCCACCGCATTCACCCTCTCGCAAACTTTCTCCCACTCCAAGCGTTTTTGTTTTGCACTGACGCCACTGGACAGGCTGCCAAACAAAACACGCTGTCGCTCCTCCACCTCCGCCACCAGCACCTCCACCTCGCACGCCATAAATTTAGTTTTTCTTGTCATTTTGTCTGCGTGCGAGGACAGGGAGACCCTATTTAAATAAATCTGCATATTTATAGGAGGGCGTAACGGGGACGGGCCCAGTCACTCCGACATCTGCGCTCAATTCCACGCTGATTGGGATTTATCAAGGAAACACACGTGGATTTCGGCGCCCGCACACATTGATACATACAGATTTTTTTCAGCGTGACGGACCTTGCGTGCGCTCGTTTCTGGTATGAGTTCCACGCAAGTATTGATACATAAGGCCCCAGGTCTCTAATTGTTTTATGTTTGATCAAGTTACTAGTGTTAAACAAACTACTCTTCACATCACCTCTTGCAATTTTTTCTCTGCAGAGTTTGCATTCTACAATGTTTGGGTCATCTTTGTAAAGGTCAAAGTATTCCAAAAGTGAGAGTTTGCATTCTAAAATGTTTGGGCCATTTTTGTAAAGGTCAAAGTATTTCCAAGCCAGCTAGTTTTGGTGAGGGGCACCGCCATGTTCACAGGTTTGTTATAGTCTGAACAGGATGTGACAGTAAACCGTCCTCAAAGCTCCTATAAGGAGTTTTTTTTTCCTTTTTATGTTTATGAAACAAACTAAAATGATTGTTGATCTCTTCTCATGATATCCAAAAGCAAATAAAACCATCTAAAACATAATTACAGATTTTTATATCCTAATTTTTAATGCCTAAAATGGTAGAGGGGGGTGGGTGCATAGACTGAATAAAGAATGGACGTCATCTGCCTCCTAAGTGTGTGAGCCTCCACAAGAACAGCAACCCCTGTTGACTGGTTGCAATATAGGTCATAAACCCCACCTTCTACAGCAAATTGAATGAAGCTGCAGATAAACTTTAGAAATTAATTACACAGATGAATTTTTTCTCACCAGGTTGTGGTGTTGACATTGAGTTGTTCTAAGACTGGTTTGTGCTCAAGTCCCCTTTTTTTGGTGCAGCTCAATTTTCAAAAGTTATTAGGGGGTTCATGTTTCTATGATTGACACTTGATGCAGCCTATGGGTGTATGAAGATTGAGTAGGACATCGGAGATATACACTGTTTGAGCAGAGCGTCATCACAGTAACTCTCCTGCCAAATGCTACAGCGCAAATGCCAGTTTCAGGTTATGGAGAAAATCCTGGAAATACTGAAGGCAATTTAGCTTCAAATTATTGACAGGAGGCAGACTCAGGTTGTCCATACTATATACAGTCTATGGTTGTATAGACTCTGTGTCAGCAAAGCAGCCAAAGAAAGAGGGATCTTTTTAAAGTTGTCTACATAAAATGTTCACAATAAATGATGCATGTGACTTTAAAGTCAGCTGGTCAAGTTTTTCTGTCAAAAGCTACTCCATCATGTTAAGGACAAGATAGTGAAGGGCTGATTTGTCCACAAAGAGTGTCAGTAAACTGCAAGTTCTTCACAAGATTGTCACTTTTTGTTCTGAAATGACATCATACTGTTTGTTGTTGAGGGTCATCTCTGCAATGTGAACTAGAGGGTCTTCAGTTCAGTTTCTGCTGTGGATTAAAAAAGGATTTTGGGACCTTTGCTTCACAGGAACTTAAGAGGTACCATTAAAGGAAGCATGTGGCCTCTAACAGGTTAGTGCAGCCCCCTAACTCTTAAATCTCCCCATTAATGCAAGTTATTAAGACACAGTTTGTGCATGAGTGTGTACTTCTGCCCTATGTTTTGCAGGGTTAAATAAATGGATCTTCTTCTTCTTCTTCTTCTCCTTCATCTCCTGTTTTATAGCCATAGTCTTAAAGCCTTTGCTGGTTGTGATGTGGAAACTCAAACAGGAGGCTTGGTTTAGGAATAAAGCTTTAAAAAGGACAAAAACCTACTTGTGTTTGAAATGACTGTCAGTTTGAAGCTGATGAGTGTTTCAAATACAGTGGAGAATTGCACATCCTGTTTTTAAATGAGAAATTGTGCAGGAAAAAAACACACAAAAGATCCATTTTGCATTAAACTGGCTTTATTTCTTTTAGTAACCCTTCACACCCCTACCAGTGATTCACCCAGTGGAATATGAAACTCTGAGTGTATTATTCTTACATGAGTGGCAGTAGAGAGCCACTCGACCCACTACAGGGCAAGGTTGTTTTTAGCTTGGATGGAGTGTGTGTGTGTGTGTGTGTGTGTGTGTGTGTGTGTGTGTGTGTGTGTGTGTGCGCGCGCGCGCGCGCGCGCATGCAAGGTTGGAGGAAGGGGACTGTGAAGATGGGGTGCAAGGGTCAGATAGGTGTAGCCAGTTTCCCTCAAATAGCTATGAAGTAGTGTGGTTGCTACGTCAATTTGGAGAGACGCAAACTCTTCAAGTGGCTCTTTAGTCGTCAGCCCCACTGCCCTCCCCCACACACACTCTCCTCCTGTTAATGGTGAGGTTCAGAGCTACATTACTAACCAATGAAATCATGGGACTATAACAGGGGGCCTGACACACTTTGTGCTTGTTCAAGCTTCACTTGGATGAAAACAGCGCAAACATAAGTTCATTAGGATTTGTTTGTTTGAATTGAATATTTGTGTAACCTTCTTAAGTGTTTAGGAGTAAAGGTATTCCCGAACACTTAACATGCTCACGCATCCACGCACAAACACGCGCGCGCACACACACACACACACACACACACACACACACACACACACACAAAGCCTTGCTACACTGAATTTGTCAGAGTGCTGTTGCAGAAGGATTGGCTAAAATATATCAAACTCTCCTTCAGAGACAGGTGGAACAGGAAAAAATGAGACTCTCCACCTATGAGCCACCAGAAGACTCCTCCTCTACAGCAGACACAGACATTATTGTGGCGAAGACAAGGTCCCAGGTTTCAGATCCCAAGCCTGAATTTCACAGATTTATGGGCAAAGAAGAACAGGTGACCAGACTGCAGGGTGAATGGTCACCTTATCTCACGAGGTTGAGCTGTAGAAAGAGCAGCTCATAGACCGGGCAGAGCAAGTGACCTCCGAAAGGCTTCACTGCTTGCTGAGGTGACGAACAAGCAGGAAACAGCAGGATTGGCAGCTCTCTGAATGAAAAGACTAAAGAAAGACTGCAAAAATGAAAAGGGGAAGTGGAGGAAGACAGAAAAATGCCTGGCCCAGCAAGAGAGATGACCTCCAGACTGCAGGCTGATCTGTACAGTGCCATCCCAGACCTGTGGAACCAGTGGGGGCAAGACAGATCCCTCCCAGGAGAGATCTTCAGACTACTTGCTGTACCTGCAACCAGGAGCTCCTGTGGGCCAAGAACATGGGTTCTATTTTCGTGCTTTGCCGGAGACATGACACAGGCGCAGCGTAAGTCAGGTCTGCCAGGCCGACAAGGCGTTCCCAAGCACAATTTGGTATTTTGGTGGGGGAGGGGGAGGGAGAGAGGAGGAGCTGAGGGGAAAACTGGTTGGGTTGACATTCAAGATTTCTCCCAAAAACTGGCACTTCCGTAGATCCTGCCTACCCCACCTTTAGGCAAAATATGTCTTATTTAAAAACTTGTGTATGAATTTAGAATTGTAAAAAATATATTTACATAAATAAAAATAATTATCTGTACTGTAAATTAAATTCACATTTAGTAGCAGTACTATTAGGAATTCCCTACAGTGCAGCCAAAGAAATCCACCGTCTCGAAGCGAACTAGATGAAGGACTCAGAAACATCTCTCTTCCTTATATTACCTTAAACATACTGAGGGACAATTTCTTGTCCTTTGAGTCTGTTAAGCTTCTTTTGGTGAACATTGCACACAGCAATGCCATAAAGTCTTTCATGGTTGATCGCAACCATGTTTTCAATCTGTGTAACCCGCTAAAATTGTGCTGTGCTTGAGCAGATGATATGGGTACCACCATCAACAACCTCACTAGTGTCCCTACCTGATCAAACAGGCCACAGACTTCAGGGGGCATTTCTTTCAAAGCATGCACAGCATCTGTGGTTGTGTTGAACTTGCTTTTAAACAAGTCTTTCTCTTTCATTTCAAGAAATCTGCGAACTGCTGTATCATTTGATATGGAACTCAGGTAAGTTTTCCAGTTCTTTTGATGTTTGATTGCCTGGTTGCAGACCCTACTCTGTAAAAATCCACAGCTGACCCAGGTGTGTATGCAGGAGCCTACCCAGAATACCCTTAAGGGGGCCTATGTGTGTGGGGTGGAACAAGGGGCTATAGAGACCGATTGCCACACCTGTCCTCTGCCTTCTTAAAGACTGCCTCAAAGTATGTTGTGTTTTTCTAAGATTTCAAGCTGTCTTGGCCCAAGGAGACTGCAGACAGCATGCCCTTGGTTGTCTAAGTCTTTTTCAGGAGAGATGTGTTCAGAAGTTGTAGCTCACTGATCACATCTAAAGCAAGCAGAAGTCCCAGTACAACATTACCCTGTTGCAGTCGAACATGTAAGCCCTCTGCCTTGCTTGCAGACTCATCTCATCTCATCTAGTGCACCATCCCGTATTGGCCGATGGTGTTGGCAGATCCTTTTCAGTTGCATCCCCCAGGTTTCTGTCCTGGGGCCACTGTTGTTCTCTCTTTACATAATTCCACTTATCTTAGGAGTTTTGAAGTTTTATCTTATCATTTATATGCAGATGACATTCAGCTGTACATGTCTTTTAAACCTAATAATGTCTCTAAGTTGTCCATTTTAATTGAATGTGTGAACTTTATTAAGGCATAGATGGCAAATAACTGTTTTCAGTTAAAGGCTGACAAAACAGAGGTTCTTATCTCAGCACCTAAGCATGTTGTGCCAAATGTGATGAAAAGTCTTAATGTCCTATCCTCTGCCGTAAAACCCTCCCTCTGAAACCTGGGTGTCCAAATGGGCCAGGCCCAAAGTCTGGAGAAGCATGTAAATGGACTGGTTCACTATTTTTTTTAACCATTTAAGGAATATATCAAAGCTCAGACCCCAAGTGTCCAGGAATGAGCCTTTATTTAATCTCGTCTGGATTATTGTCATTCTTTGTTCACCTGTTTAAATACCACTTCTTTGAACCGGCTGCAAGTGGTTCAAAATGCTGCAGCTAAATTCCTGACAAGATCTTTCTCATGCCACACCCATCCTCAAAAGTCTTTACACTGGCTCCCCGTTCAATTCAGAATCCAATTTGAATGACTTATTTTTGTGTACAAAGCTTTGCACAGACAAGTCCCAATGTATATCAGAGACCTGCTAAAGCCATATAACTCCAGCAGGACTTGAAGATCCTCTGATCAGGGTTTGCTGGTTTTCCCTCAGACCAGGCTCCGAACTAAAGGAGACTGTGCATTTGAGTTGTTTGCTCTGTAACTTTGGAACTCTCTCCCTTGTGAACTAAGAACTGTGGACACTGTGGTTACTGTCAAAAAAGCAGTTAAAAACCCATTTGTTTCAACTTGCCTTTGTATGACCAGGACTTTGGAGGCTAGTATGCTATTTGTAGATGTTTATGTCTTGTCATCCTATCCTCTTTAACTTTGTGACAACTGTTCTTGAACGGCGCTATATAAATACAGTTCATAATTAATCAATTATTATTATTCTTCCTTTTGTCTCTATTCCTCATTGAGTCTTTTTTCTCCTGGGGCTGCCCCCTGGCAGATCTTTCCTTGACTGACTGGGCCTGGGGCCTGCCTCACTATCATCAGGAATTGCCTGCAGGACAGGAGGATAATATTAATATCTTCAATCTCATAATTAAATTTTCGAAAAGAGAGTCTAAAGGAGAATCCGACAATAAACACAACAAAACATGGGTAAATATTGGAGCAGTGTTTCAGAGATGGAGACAACTGCAGGATGGCAAGCTGGATTCCAAGCTCGCTCTTCATCTCCTGGACTGGTATGCTAATTTCATTTTCCCGTAATATTTAAATGTATTGTGGTGCCTGTAAGCAGTCATAGCTGGCGTACGGGTGATGATGTATTGAAGAGGTTGTAGAATGTGACATTTTAGTCATATTGCACACCTACAGTCGCCAGTGTCTGCATGGTAGTCTGTTGGCATCTACAGTAGCACCAATGCTATTTACTTTCATATTGACTGAGCCCCATTTGTAGTTATCTAAAGCAGTGGTCCCCAACCTTTTTTGCGCCACGGACCAGTTTAATGTCAGACAATATTTTCACAGACCGGCCTTTGGTGTGCGGGATAAATACAACAAAGTAAAATGTTACGACCAATACAAACACTATGGTATTTTGTAAATATAATAATAAACGTGAATCCACTGTGTACTTCTATGTAACTTTATTAGCAGCGTCCTCCTGACATGCGTCAACAACATAATAAGAGTAACATCCTCTTTGCCCCCGAATGCTCTCTGGTTGCTATGGTAACGCTTAAACATGCCCTCAAAATAAGATACACCACGAAACAAATATAAAGTACATGAAAAATACAACTCACCAAAACGCTAGATCAATGAGAGCCCTGAGCATGTTTCTCTGCAATGAGACGGTCCCATCTAGGGGTGATGGGAGACAATGACACCCAAAGTGTGTTGCTTATGTCCAGTCTACTCCGTAACTTTGTTTTGGTTGCTGTGACTACAGAAACCCCGCTTCACACAGATAAGATGTCGGAAATGGCAACAGGGTTTTCAGTGCTGTTGTGGCAATCTCTGGGTACTCTGCTATTACTTCTATCCAGAATATCGGCAGAGTTGATTTCTTCAACAGATTTTTAAGGCCTCCGTCATTTGTGATCTCCAACAGTTGATCTTCTTCTTGCACAGACATGCTGGATTCGCCTGGTTTATTGACAAATGGGTCGGGAATCCATTCCTTGTCAGTCCGTGGGTCTTTGTGGTTGGGAAGTAGTGCTTGGACTCTTTTGAAAGAAAAGACAGGTGATCATGCACCAGCTGGGAGAATGACTGCTTAGGCTGAGTCTCTTCCAAAATGTTTGAAACAGGTCAAATATGCCCCTGTTCACGCGTTGTCTCCACAAATCCAGTTTGGCTTTAAATGCAGCTACTTTATCTGCCAACTTTAAGTCAGTTGTTATTTTCCCCTGAAGGCACAGATTGAGTTCATTGAGCAGGCTGAATACGTTGCACAAGTAAGCGAGTTTTGTGACCCACTCCCTGTCACTGAAATGTGCTGCCAGCGGTGACTTCTTTTCTGAGAGAAATCTCTGCAGCGGCTCTCGTAATTTAAACACTCTGGCAAGCGATCTCCCTCGGGATAACCATCTTATTTCTGAGTATAAGAGAAGGCATCTGTGCTCTGCGTTCATCTCCTCACAAAGTTGCTTGAATAGGCGTGAGTTAAGGGCGTGTGCTTTGATGTGGTTAATAACTTAAACAACATCATTCAATACGCTTCTCTGTGAATGACACAATGTGTAGATTCACATTCAGGTGTAACCTCCTTAATCCGAGCAGTTAAACCAGACAGCTGTCCAGTCATGGCAGCAGCTCCATCTGTGCATATGCCGACACAAAAAGACCCTTTAAGTTTTCCTGATACATAGTCATCTAGCGACTTAAATAATTCTGTGGCTGTGGTTTTGGTTGTCAATGATAGTGCACACAACATACCCTCATGCACATCCTCCTAATAATGGTATCGCATATAAACAAGTAGTATTGCCTTGTTGTCCACATCTGTGGACTCGTCAACCTGCAGTGTGTACCACGGTGATGTATTAATCCTCTCCAACAACTGTGTCTCAATGTCCTCTGCTATTTCTTCAATGCACCGAGGGACAGTGCTAGTCGACAGAGGCACCTGTGCAATGTTTTTAACTGCAGCCTCTCCGAAAAGTTAACAGCAAATGTCTTAAGTCGCGGGAAGGTTCAATTCTTCACCAATAGTAAATGGCGTTTTAGCCTTAGCAATATGGTCAGCCACCAAGTATGACACTCTCAGTGCACTTGCAGTTGTTGATGTGGAGGCCCTCAGTAATTGCTTCTGCCCTTCTTGTTCCTGCTTTTATCTTTCAGAATACTCCAAAAGCTTGTTTTTTTAATACAGGGTGCTTGGTCTCCAAGTGGCGAAGTGTTAGAATAATGTGCATAAATGTATATAGAAGTTATCATTATTCCTCATATTCTTATGTAAGAGTTTATACTACAAGTGTAAACTGCTTTGACCTCTTTTAATACATTATATAAGAGTATTTTTATCATATAAGAGTGTTTCCTAACTTCTCTCTCCAATAGATTTACTACACAGCAGAACAATGTTCTTTCAGTTTTCTGTGACTGTGTCTTTCCTATCAGCAGGTGGGGGTGTGTGAGTGATGGATCCTCCGCTATAAATCGTGGGGAGTTTTTGAGGAGGTGCCGCTGTTATCAGAAGGAGCTCGTTAGATGCCGCCTTGACTTTCACATATTCACAAGTGTTCATTATTATGCTTTATGAGAGTGCTTACGTTGCTACACATATTTTTCTCCACCCTTTTAGAAACATTGTGTAACCAGGGACAAGACTAAATAAAAGAGACTGGGCGGAAATACCTTTAGAGTGGTTTCGACATGGTACCTGAAGCTATCTCGGTCCATTCTCCTCGAGCATATACCATTGTCTTTCTCTTCTTTATATGTTATCAGGTAAATGTTGCAGGTTTTAGACCTAACACGAAGCCGTTTTGAAGGCTTCATCGCCTCATTGGAGAGCCGGTCGCTGCATATTGTGCAGAGTGGGCTTGGTGCATGGGAATCACCTATCGCAATAAATCAATATTTTAAGTAGGTCTCCTGGTATTGTCTATTAAATGCAGCTTTCTTATTCTAAGTGGTCATAGGCTCTTCTTCTGTCTCCTTACTGGGCCTTTTCCCCTTTGCAAAGAAACCTCCCTAAGACATCTGTTGTTTATTCATTTTGCTAGCTTGTGGGTTTAATATTAGTGTTAACATGACCACGTGACCGAGACAAGCATCTTGACATGTGTCAAGAGTGAGTCATAGATGGATGTAACAGAGAGAATTCAGTTGTAGCAATCAAGACAACCCTGGATGTGAAACCCACACATTCCTTACAGGAAAGTTTCCTTATCTGGTCCCAGGAAACAGGATATAAATCTTTCCAGACGTGTTTGCACTTTCAGGTTAAATAAGTGACCCAACCGGAGGTTGACTAAACCTCTGACTCTTCACGATTGGTCAATTCGGAGAACAGAGACAGAGTTTTATTACCTTTCAAACTGACTCCATTTGCTGACCATCTAAATAAACATTAACGTCTCAACCCAGATCTCCCATTTGAGATTTAGTGTCTTAAAGTGTGTGAACATACGGACCCTAGGAAAAGGGGGGACACTGACCTCCAGACCTCGGTCGTAAAACCCTGCTCGACCATGCACTGATAAAGACTACATTCCTTTGGTGAAAGAATACAAATGACTGATCCTGACATCTTATGCATTCAGCAATGTACTAATCTGTCTAATCATGAAATTTGTGTTAAAATGAGATGTTTCCCGTTTTTCTATGTGCTTTAGAAGCCAAATTATCACTCCGGATATCTTTAGACCAACAGCTTTTCAGACTGTTTCATGAACTTTTAAGAGTTAAATTTATTGATTGTGACTCATAACTTAGCTCTAATTAACAGAAATGGTTTAGAAATGTTTGTTCTATATTTTAATCGTTTATTTAGTATTTTTAACCATTAGGTGGTTATAATGTCATTGAATAACCTTAATGTGAGTATTTAGAATCCATTATTAATCATGATGACGTTCATTCACATGTATTTACTCTTTTGTTGTTCACAGTTTCCATGTGTTACTATCTGTTTCATTTCAGAGTAATTTAGCATGTTCAATGTGATACTTAAAACATAATGAGAATGTTTGATGTGATCCTACACTTCATTCATATGTGTTTAGTATCAAATTATTTATCATGAAACCAAACATTCAATGATATTAATCATAGTGAGTGAGTATCAGATCTGACTCTTTTGCCAGCCAAAAGAATAAGTTAGATCAAATAATCAAAGACCACACGACCCCTCCTCTGTCTCCTCACACACACGCCGGAGCCACCCCCAGTGTGAGAAGATAAAACCAGTGAAGTCGGGTTGCTCTTCTCTCTCTTATGCCTTTTTTCTCTTGTGTGCTGACTCTCCTGTCTCTCTTAGGCCCCTTACTCTTGGGCCCTTCTCTTCTGCCCACACCCTTCTGTGGTGCGTTTCTTTGTTTTCTCTTAGAACTTTTTCTTGGTCTACTAAGTTTTACGCCACGTGTTGATTCACGTTGATTTTTCTTTAACATCGTCTTAGTTCAAGTTTTGAAACTTCAACTTTTTGTGCACATAGCAATTCAAGATTAAGCCTTTGATTGATTTTTCTTTAATTTCGCGAAGCCATTTTTGAAAGTTTTCTCTGCTCTTCGAGCCTCGTTTTTCTGAGTTTTCTGCGTGATTTCAAAGTCACCTCCGAACGCAACCCAACAGGCCCAGGTCATCCTCTGTGCCAGAGTTTTTGAGTGAGACCAAAGAAGTACCCAAACGAGCGTCCACAGGATCCACAGGCGCTGGCTTTGCTTCGGGCCCGAGTGCTGCAACTCCTGGCTCATCCTTCGGCTGACTTCAGTCGTCTTCTGAGCTGAACCGCTCGAACCGCCAGTAGCCCGGACCTTCGGAACCTGCTCCATCTTCTCCAAGGACCAGTCTCACTTAAGTATGCAAACCTCCAGAGCTCTAAAGAGGGCTGGTGCTGTCTCCTGCGTTCATAACTCAGATACCCGCTTATTCTGGTAATCTTAGATTCCTCCAAATCCACATCCGAGTTTATCTCGACACCAAAGTTAGGGTAGGTTAATATGTTAGCGCATATTCACTCACTATCATTAACTTTAGTGCTCTTAGCCTGACTCAGAATCTTTATTTATTCACCTATTATTATTTTATCCTCATTATCTTATCATCATTTATTGCATGTGTGTTGTACCATCATTTATCCTGTAATAAACAGATCATTATTTTTCTAAGTTACTGTCTGTTAGTGTTCTTCCAGAAGTGGAGTCCCTGAAATTAGAATTTCGACTTAAGATATGAGACTGATCAATTAAGACTGATTAATTAAGACTGACTTGATGTTTGATTTCTGAATTAAACTTTTGTTTTCTTTATTTTCCCACCATTAAGGGTGGGTGGTGCCCCTTTCAACGAGTGCATAAATGTCATAATTTGAGATTATTAATCTTCAGACATTTATTATAAATTCCAATCGCCAAGTATTATTTTGGTGCGGCCTTGTGAGGCTCATTTCAAATCGCTACATATATTTTGGTGCGACCGTATGAGGCTCATTTCAAATCACTACATATATTTTGGTGCCCCTGCGTGAGGCGTTTCAAACAAAACTTCTGGATACTAACAGACAACCTAAAACTTAGCCTTCCAAATTGATGCGAGAAACTTATTTCCAGGCTATTTTAGACTTAATCACAATCAATGCTATGCTTGCTGAAGTTGCTTGACTAAGTTCTGATGTTTTCCTGATCTATGCATAAAACCTTTATGCTCTGTGTTTCACACACTTTTGTACTACATGCCTGTAGTCTGTGTTTGAGCTGGACAGCGTGAAATGTTGTTCTGAGTAGCAGTGAGACTGACTCTTCTGCTCTGTCTAGACTGTCCAATATTTAAGTGCACGATTGTGGCGTCGCCGTACGCTTGTATTTAAGGCCTTTGGCTGAACCCAGTGTTCGCGATGCTCCGAGCTGTGGTTTCAAGCCCCTGAAGTCTCTGTAGTCTGCTACGAGGTTCTAGTAACTATATGGGATTCAGATTTTCCTCCTTTCCCCTGACAGATTAGCTATCTGTCACAGGAAACCACTGTAACAGTGGGAGGTTGTTGTTTGATTGAATTCAGACAAAATTTGTGTTCACAAATCGCCGCATTTGTGATTTTTAAGTTTGCAGTTGAATCTGCTATTGAGGGATTTGTCACTTTGATTCTTGTCTCTATAGTCTGCTATGAAGTTCTAGTAACTATATGGGATTTAGATTTCCTCCTTTCCCCTGACAGATAAGCTATCTGTCACAGGAAACCACTGTAGCAGTGGGAGGTTGTTGTTTGAATGAATTCAGACAAAATCCGTGATCACAAATCGCCGCATTTGTGATTTTAAAGTCTGCAGTTGAATCTGCTGTTTAAGGATTTGTCACTTTGATTCTTGTTCCTGTAAATGATTTTATTGAACCAATCTGCCTGAGCAGATGGTGTAAAGTTCTATGTTTGAGGGTGCAGACGCAGCCTGCTGTGAAGAGTTAACCCTTTGTTGTCAGTGGAGAGACTGACCTTTTGGCCTTAAGCAGATAAGGCCCTTCAAGGAGGCAGAGCCTAAAGGCCCCTTCCTGCATACTTTCCAACTTCACAGCCACAAGAGGCTAGTTGGATGACTGTTTCCTCTTCTCTTCTTCTTCTCCACTTGTGTTGAGCTTGTGCAGTTACCCCAACTCCATACTGCCCCACATGGTTGTTTTTGGTATTGAGCTAACACTGCTATTATCTGCCTGCAGTATCAGCCAGCTGTACTGCCTCTCTGTAGTCAGTGTGTAACACTCTACAGACATAACTCAAGTGATTGACTTGGTTGATGAAGTTTGATGTGCTTATTCTAAATCATTGATCATTGATTTTTGATTTTTATCTTTGTTATAAGAGCCTACATAATGTATTGATAAAGTAACTCCTTGAATCAATCACCTGATCTGTTGTTACTTATCACACCATTGAGCAGTTTTACTGTTCCCTATAATACATGAATGTATTAACCCTCCTCATAAGATTAATTAATTAATGAACAAATTAATTAATATTTGAAATCTATTTTACCATTTCAGATGAATTGGGTAGTTGAATCTTTGGCTTTATTGCGATTTGTGAATTAACTTCAGAGTTAATTCCTTAAATTGACAATTTCATTGGTTTCAGATTCATCCAACTGCATCAGGCAGTTTATTTAAGCTTTGCTGATCTCTGCAACACGGAGACAATTTGAACCCTTTATTCAATGGTTCTGTATCTGATGTTAAATTTAATTTAACATTATTTCACCTTGTTTTATTTCAATTTTCATTGAAATGAATTTAACTTTATGTTATTTTTCTCTCCATTAGAGATTTACTCAGATAGGCTCTTCCTCTTTATCAAGCACTGATAAATTAAGTCGATTAACTCACTTAATTTGATATTTTGCTTCTTCTTTTCATTTTAAGCCAACTCAAACTCATCAACCAACCACCTGCTCCTCTTTACCAAAACCAAACATGCCTAACACAAAAGAGTCCAGCCAGGGAGACCCCCTGAGGGACATACACACAGTGTTGGCAAACTTGACTAGTCAGCTGATACCTCAGTACATGACTAAGATTCAAAAGGCCGAACCCTCCAATCCGGAGGATGCAATGGCTGACCTACTGGAAACAGCCTTAACCACGACACTTCGTGATAAAGAGCTCACTAGATGCATGTCTGTCGTGATGTCTTCTCAGCTTGAGTATAAAGACTACTTGCTGGAATGCGCTTTAGCAAAGATAAAGGCGCAAAAAGACGAAAAAAGCG